ATGATTTGATAACTAAGCCCAGATTCTTAACTTAACTTTGAGTGAATTTTAATGCCTCACTAAGGCATCAGATTGATGTTGGTCTTGGCAGATAATCCAATAGTATCACATATGGAAAAGTTGAATGAAGGCAGTCATACGGAGCTGGGTTCTGTGTGGTTTTTCTTCATGTATTTGTGAACAAAAACCAAAGTCAAAGCAATGATTCCACTCACAGTTCCACGTTGACTCCAGACCATTAAAGGCACTATCTTTTTTTTAGGAAGTGAAATAAGTAATTCCTTTATAGTTGGTCATAACACACTCATTTAACACAGAGGTCCATTTGACTTTTAAATTGTATTTAATTCCCCCCTTTTTTTTTTCTTTTTTTTTTTTAACAACCTTACCCCCAACCAATTGGCAGGAAGGTTAGGGATTGCTAAATGTTTAATTTCAATTCAGGACAAGTGAAGCAGGTTATGACACCGTAGTTAAAAGTGCAGTTCTCAATGGAGCTCCAGGTTTAACAGTTTTAATTAAAGGAGCTCACCTCTGGGCGACCGGCCAGTCAAATGACCGGCTCCCTTTCATGCCGGGGCGAGAGAGAGAGAGAGACGGCCTATGAGGTCCGGAGTCTCCGGCTGCGATCAATCAAGCCCATTTTTCACTTATGCAGGTTGAGGCCCAGCAGTTAGCGTGGCGTTCAGGTGAGGCTTCATTTATAGATTTCTACTTTGACGGAGATTTGCATATAGATTATTATTCAGTAGAAGATACAACAAGATAGAATTATTCATGTCTGCCCGCCGTTCCTAAGTGCAGCCTCGCTCAAAGGTCTAACGTTGTTTTCTCTCCTGTTTTCAGGGCAATTAAGAAAAATGTATTCCATTGTTTCGTAGACAGTTTTGAAGAAAGAAAAACCAGAGCTGAATTCACACGTTTTGGTGAATACAGAGCAGCGGTGTTGCCGCCACATGGCTGTCTGACATTATCACTTCACTGACAAGATGTGAACGACTTAAAGGTCTTCAGACCCTGGTGTGAGTGCTGTTTAGTCGGGGCTTTGGGCAGCGACGTGCTCCCATCACGGTGGAGGAGTTTCCCCTTTGGGGACGAATCACTCTGACTTATCAGCGTCTCTGTCTCCGTCTCTGTCTCTGTCTCAAGTCTCCATTTATCTGCACTTCAGTGTGTTTACGTATATGTAGAGATTTAGTCGCTTCTCTTCATAAACACGCGCACAGACAAAAGTAGTCATGTGACCATCGTCATGATTCTTTCTTCTTCGGAAAATCAAATCTCCATATTGAATCTCCATAGAGGATATTTATCCAGATCATTTTCTTCCCTCCTAAAATAAAATCTAAACATAGCAAAGTCATGCGTTCTACGTTTATTTAATATATACAAATGTAAATGAAAAGTTATATATGAATTTTAAAAAAACATCACAGTACTATAAATGACTTTTGTATCAATCATCGTTGTCCCTTTCGCTCGTCTAACACTAACTCTGCACATCACGCTGTTAAAAGTGAAAAAAGAGACCTCTAGTGGCTCGCACTTGTCGGCGTATTGAACCCGAACCGCCACCAAATAACCAGACTGGGGGGGGGGCATATATTTTTAAGGTCTGATTCTTTAGTCAAATATAAACATATAGCTGTTAAAAGTGAAAAAAGAGACCTCTAGTGGCTCGCACTTGTCGGCGTATTGAACCCGAACCACCACCAAATAACCAGACTGGGGGGGGCATATATTTATAAGGTCTGATTCTATAGTCAAATCAGTATTATAATATAAAGTATAATATTTATATCAGTTTATTTGACTCTACACTAACATTACAATATACACACAGTGTGTGGGTGCATGTGTGTGTGTCTCTGTCCAGTCCTCACACACACACACACACTTCTGTTCTGTATAGTAAAAGTCACTCAGTCATGATTTGCGACTGACTGGAGTTTCACTGGCTTGCTTGGCCGGTCTTCAGCATCTGTCGCAGGAACATAAAGTTTAATTCCGATACTTAATATCACTAACTTTTTATCGCAGCACAATATGTTGTCCTAAACTAAACTGGAATTAATTGTCAGTGACTAAAAATGTTTATTTCTGTTGCTGCAGGAATACCCCGATCCTGGAAAAAAAAAAAAAAAAAACCAAACCCCGGTCCATGTTTATCACCAGGCTGATGAAATCATTTTTTTTAATCTGGTTCAGCTTGAAGGCGACAGTGCAGCTGTGCGATGTTCCTCTCAGAGAAACCTTATTTTTATCACAATTATCACATTGTTTCAGGTTCAAACAGAGCAGCGTCGGCTGCATTTTTAAATAGTTTCGTCTCCAGGGTGGAAACGTCCAACATTATCTTTTAATCCGACGTTGTGTCATCTCGTATAACATCACTTCATTTAGTTAATTACACACGCTGTTTTACTAACCAGGTTTAAGAGAACGGGTTTGAGCCCAAAGTTACCGAGGAAGACAAACCTTCAGACCAAGATTCGACTCGGTCGTCAGAAGAGATTTGATGGGTATTTTCTAGGGATGTCCGATATTACCTTTATGCCGATATCCGATATGCCGATATTGTCCAAACACTTAATTTCCGATTCCGATATCCGATACATGCAGTCGTTTACCCCCAAAACTGAGGTAAACGTCTTAGGATCAGCAAATTTGCCAAAACCCAGGGATTATGGTATTGGATTTTCATTTCAACGATCTTACCGATATTACATGATTATGCTAATATTAATTATGCCGATAATATCAGCCTACCGAAATTATCGGACATCCCTAGTATTTTCATGAGCGCCTTAGAGTTAAAGGTAACTTGACATTCTAATTTAACAGGTTCATCTCGTCCATCCTGTGCCTTATATTTCCTACAAAAACACATAATCCAAAAAAAGTTTCCTGGCTGTGTTTCCTTTGATTTCGAGTGTGTCGTGTATTTAGAACTCGCCGCGAGAACTCGCCGACTGAGCGACTGAAGTTTCAGGTCAAATACATTTATTCAGCATGCAGATTAGCGGAAAACAGCGTGAACGCCTGTTGACAGTGACGTTGACAGTGTGTTTACTGGTGATGCTTTTAAACGCAGTGATGCGTGCGAGGCGTGTGATGGGCAATATCACATCTCATCAAAATCAATTTGCCCGGCGGTAATGCTTCGAGTTGCACCTCACGGGTAGAGCAGATTAAAGGCTGTCATCTTTGCATGATTGAATTAGAACGTGTTATTAAAAACATAATGACTATGTGAAAGCAAACATTAGACTTTGATTACTACTCCCATCAAGAGGTAATGTTTAGCTAAGTGCAAAACAGCTCGGTAAAGTGTGTGAGCTGTTGTGTCGGTGAATTAACCAGCTTCACAGACAACACGCTGTTTTGGCCTGATAACGGGCTGCTGGTTACACACCAAGACAGCTTCTGTGTAGAACAGATTAGGATGAGCGATGGATTATTATGAGGGCTGTCAAAATTACCGCTTTAATTAATTAATTAATTTGTGTAATTCATCACATTAAAACGTCTTACGCTCGGGTTTTAACGCATGGAGAGAGATCACAGACAATCCCACCTTCTATCCACATGGCGTTGCTCTAATACACAGTTAATACATGTAATTTGTACACACTGTCAGGAAAAAAAAAACGTTCTGGTTTCATCAAAGCATCTGGAGCTTGAAAAAAAAAATTCAAAATATTTGAACTCTGACAGTGTTTGCCAGGCCACGTTAGAAAGCCTGATGGGCCTTATCTGGTCCACGGGCCTTAGTTTGCCCAGGTCTGCTGTAGACCAGTTGACTGACCAAATTGAACTCGAATTTATTTGGCTCTATTATACAGTATTTTATACCAGTGTACTTGTATTATCTATTTTGTTCTCTTCTATTCTACGCTATTTTATCAGAGTTGATTCTCCTCTGTTCTATTTTGCTCTTTTCTACACTATTGTACTTTACTTTACTTTATTCCATTCTACAACAGTTTCTCTAATTATTCAACACTTCTATTCTTCTCTATTCACCCTTTTTTTCAGTTGCAGTCTAACATTAAAAAAACTAATTTTATGTAGCGTACTGTACGACCCTGTTGGCCAGCAGTGGTTACACAGGTAGATATAAATTCCATAGTGTAGATATAACAGAAACACACACACAGCGGCAGCCAGAGCAGCGTACGGAGCCACGAGCGCTGCATTTTAAGCAGCTTGAAGTGAGAGCCATTTTCCACAGGTCAGTCTTGGGTGGTTTTTAAAGTCGGCCATGAAGCCTGTACCCACTCTAATAAAACCAGAGAGCAGCGCGGGAGCAGGGGGCTAAAACCGCCATTAACTTCTCTCACTTCAACACGGGTGCAGGTTACTCACGACCCTGTGAAAGAGCCACGCTCTACTGATCATGTGACCTGGGGGACGCTGAGCTGATAAAGAGGCAGCAGCAGTCGGACATTATTCAAGGAGTCGTACCCAGAGAGTGGACTTGAAGGCACAAATAAGAAAGACATTCCTGTCCTGTTTCCTATTGTTCATGTGAAATATTGTAGTGAACAATTTTTTTTTAAAACGTTCCAGAAACTAGAAGAACATTTGACACCAGTCCTAAGGTGCAGCAAAATAAGTTTTGTTTTTTCCTCACTTTGCAAAAGGACATTTTGACTTTGTTAGACCTTGTTATCAAAAACAAGCTGCAATCCCTGTTAAGACTTATAAACGTGTTAATACTGAGGGGGAAAAGACAAGAAATGTTATAATCTGCAGACAGGTCTCCGTGTCAAATAAATTACAAAGAAAAAGGTTTAAAGAAAAATATATTTTTAAAACCAAAAAGAGTTCCATGGTGGGCAACTGGACGGAGGTTTATTGAAGACGTTTTACCTCTCATCCTCCCTGACCAATGTAATATTTTTATTTTAATGACTTGTATTGAATTTAATTAAAAAAAAACTCAAAGCGTATGCTGATGATACTTTTTAGGGCATTAGAAATATAAAGGGTTTGTTTCATTAAACTGTGTCGTTTCACTTGTGTGGTGAGGAGAGCAGAAAAAGAAACATGCCTCCAGTACATAATGGTCCTGTTGTAACAATGTGGAGGAAAGAATTCCATTTTGCCTTCACACACCATTTGATTCCGTCCTCTGATCACTTGGAGTATTAAATTCTGCCGTGTACCATTAGTGGGATATTATTGATCTTATCGTAATGTACCTTTTTCTTTTTCCCATTTTCTTTCCTTCTCTACTCGTTAACCAAACTTTCTTCTGTCTTTTCCCTCTAGTGGGACGCCATCACCGAGATGGACGAGCACAACCGGCCCATCCACACGTTCCAGGTCTGCAATGTGATGGAACCCAACCAGAACAACTGGCTGCGTTCCAACTGGATCTCTCGACAGGCGGCTCAAAAGATCTATGTGGAGCTTCGCTTTACTCTGCGGGACTGCAACTCCATACCCTGGGTGTCTGGCACCTGCAAGGAGACTTTCAATCTTTTCTACCACGAGACGGACGAGGCCCACGGTGTCAAGTTCAAGCCCGTGCAGTACACAAAGGTTGACACCATCGCCGCCGACGAGAGCTTCACTCAGATGGATCTCGGAGATCGCATCCTCAAGCTCAACACCGAGGTGCGCGAGGTCGGACCGATGACCAGGAAAGGCTTCTACCTGGCGTTCCAAGACATCGGCGCCTGCATCGCCTTGGTTTCCGTGAGGGTTTACTATAAAAAATGTCCGTTTACGCTGAGGAACTTGGCTTCGTTTCCCGACACGGTGCCTCGCGTGGACTCCTCTTCGCTGGTGGAGGTGAGGGGTGCGTGTATCGACCACGCTGAGGAAAGAGACACTCCGAAACTCTTCTGTGGAGCTGATGGTGATTGGTTGGTTCCCCTGGGAAGATGTGTCTGCAGTGTTGGATATGAAGAGACCGACGGCACCTGTAGTGGTGAGTAGACGAATTCCTTTTCTTTGCCGGGAAATCTTTAAAAGTCTCGTCTTGACTAGTTGATCTTGTCTCGGTCCAGCTGGAGGACTGACTTCGTTTACTGGTTTAGCAGTTATTTACTTTGATCAACCTCTGGTTTACTGTGGTATTTATTTAAAACTGCACTTTTATGTTACACGTTCCAGGGTATTTATTTCCTCTGTTAGTTTGTTTTTAGAAAACGACTCCCAAACAACACTAAATCTATTTGATTTGACGTCTTCAGACTTCTTTAAAAGATGATACATTTTATGTTTTTTATCTTCTTTTATTAAATCCTTCACTTTCCTCTGAATGTTACCTTAATTGACTCGCAAAGATAAAATAGCATTATAAGGCAATGATTTCAGGGAACAACAAAAAAAAATCTTTCTCCTTCAGTTTAGCGTAAGCACTGATGAATGGACCAGTCAGTTGGTAAGAAATGTGGATAAACGGTTGATAAAGTAACTGCGGGGCTGTATTTCAATCCATTTCAGGCTGTGGCTGCAGCTTATATTTCAGCGACTGTCGGGTTTCTATCTGCTCCTGCTGAGCTCTCATACATCTTTCTGCTTTATTTTTTTAATTCCTGCCTCTCATCGTCAATCTCTGGTGCCTAAATCATGTAATTGTTTGATGATGATTCTCCATGTGATGGAATGGCTGTGGCTGTGGCTCTGGATGATGTGGCTCCGTTTAAAGCATATTGGTGTGAAGTCATTCTATACTGTTCTGGTTTTTCTACTTTTAGTCATAATGAAAACATCAGTCTAAGTTGAACTACTTTTTTTTGTTACAACATCTAAATTTACTAACAAATACCTGGGTGGACTATTTTGAGCTTTTTTTATATATATAAAAATTATAGTAAAGTCTGACCACACGTAGTTAGTATTGATTAGACATTTAAATGCTGGAGAATTTTCATATTATGATGTAGAAACAAAGGTCTTGAAAAGTAACATTTTGAATGTGAGCTGTTGTTTAGTTAGCTGCGAACTGGGACATTATTAGCGCAGCAAAAAAAAAAAAAAAAAAAAAGGTTTTCTGAGCAACCTAACTAATTGTTGACCAAGTTGACCGCCGGGTCACGTTCTTCTCTGACTGGTCATTTTCTGTCATGTTGAGCTGTAATTTCAAACCTACATTTTCCACTAAATCATTTGTTGTTGGTCCTGATGTCTGTTCTTTGCACATTTAGCTGCAATTTCAAACCTTAATTTTCCACTAGATCATTCGTTGTTGGTCCTGATGTCTGTTCTTTGCTGATGATGTTCTTTGTTATTTTGATGCACTCCTTCCTACCATTTAACCTGGTTAGAAGTTTATATATAAATATATATTTTTATTCCTCGCTCAGAGAACACGTTCCCTTCTTCAGAGTCTTTGTAGTGTTTCTGCGACTCTTCACCATCAAGGCCAGTTTCCTTCCAACAGTTGATTGCGATTCATATTGTGACACAGGTCAGCGAGGGCTCCACGCTGCAGTCACAGCTGCAGCACAATCAACACGTCCAGGTTACGGCTGCAGCTGTAAATGGAGCCAGACCATTGGCTGAATTCTTGTCTCTTGTAAAGTCGCTAATTGTCCTGTAACGACGGAAGCTGGTGATTTTCTTCTGCGGTAAAGTGGGTTTTTTTTCAGATGTACGACATTTCTGGGCAGAAACAGATACACAGATGTGTACTTCAGTATAGAACAGAATGTAATAGATCAGTAGCAGCCAGAGAATTTAGAAGCATTAAAACAAACTGTCCGTCAGTTAGTCAACATTTTAAACCAGGGGTCTCAACCGCCGGGCAGCAGGCCGGAAGTAAGCAGCCCTGATTCGGCCCACAGCTAGATGGCC